CTACCATCTCTCTCGCTCCCTCCTGCTCTGCTCCCTCCCCTGGCCTGCCTGGCAGCTCAGCTCATTGCCAGTAAACAGTGGTGCGGGATGGAGCCCTGCGACGAAGGAGAGCAGTGCACTTTGTTAATCAATCACTCAGGATGGAGCTGCACAAGACGACTGGGCCGAATAAAGACCGTCACCGTGAGTACCTCTCCTCTGGCTGGGCAGGGACAGAAGGGGCAGCCAGCAGTTGCTGTCTCTCAGGAGGTGTCCAGGATGGTTGGACAGGGGGAAGGAAGCAAGCATGATGGGCAGTGTCTTCCTAGGGTGAGCTGCCACCCCCACCAGGTATTTTGCACCTCCCCGCACCCCCCTTCACTCGGTTACAGGCCATTTTGAGGACTCCCAGTATCACCTCCCCCAGGTGTTTGCGGTCAGGCCCCCAAACCTTATCATCTTAAAGAGCATGAGGTACTTTGAAGGAATCACTGTAGTATCAGGGCTCCTGAGAAACACAGAGGAGCCTGCATGGGAGTGAGGCAGATCAGCACCATTATTATCACCCCCTTGGATAAGAGGGGAAACTGAGGCACAGGGCTGGGGGAGTGAATTGTTGCATGTCACAGATGTCGTGGCAGAGCCAGGAGCTCCCACCTCTCCTGGCTGCCAGCCCTCATATGTGCCCCTCTCCTGGCATAGAGGTGGGGAGGGGAGGCTGTGATGCGTGTAGACCTGGCAGGAGCAAGAGTATTTGGGTAGGGCAGTAAGAGGTCTGCAAGAAACAAGGCATTATCAGGACTGCAAGGGACTCAGATTGCTCCATGATCTACAGATTGTGATGAGAGAAATGTCAGGGAGAGAAGCAGACCTGTGGCTAAAGTGAGCATGGAGAGCAGCCGTCACGAAGACCCAGAACGAGGTTCTTCCTTCCCACTTCCCCTGAGAGCACCGGGAGGCAGCTCTGGGCCCTGCCGTCAACAGGAATCAACCTCATTAATAGGATATGCCCGGGGCACCGAGGTACTGCTCACTTGCAGGACCCCATCTGCTGGAGCCAAGGGGACTGGGCTCTCCGGAGGCTTTGCAACGCACCTGCTGTGATTCCCTGTAGAGATGGGTTTGAAACAAAGCCTGGGACAGAGTAGCTGAGCCTAAAGGAAGTGCCTGCGGGGCCTGCACCCAGACGCAGCTCTGTCCCATGAGGAGACGTTCACCTCAGGCTGGCTCGGTGCCATGGGATGGTGAGGACTGGGGGGTCTCCCTTTGGAAGGGAGGGTCATGGCATGGCCCTCGACCAGCTCCACTTCACCTCCACCTTCCTGGAAACAGAAAGGCATCGCTTCCCTCCCAGGGGTGGTGTAAAAGCTGGGTACCTGCAGCATGGAGAGGAAGGGCAACAGGGGAAATAGGGCACCTGTCCCTGCCCTCTCCTGCCTGCTCAGGGAATCCCTCCTCTTCAGACAGGTCTCGGCCCTTAGCCAGCAGGAGCCTGCAGCCTTGTTAAGCCTATGAAACCAGCATGTGCTGTTTCACGGCTGGTGCAATGCAGCCCCTTCCAGCAGGGGTGGGGTAGGGAAGAGGGCAGATCAGCCTGTGGGGGAGCTTGTAGGCACTTTGGTTTCTCCCTCCCTCCAAAGGGCACAACCTCACCCCCTTTCAGCATGCAAGGCTTGGAGACGTTCTGCCAATTTGGCCCATTGCAGAAATTGGGGCCACCTGTGCAGCTCTGGGCTGGATCCCTGGATGCCTCCCCCAAAATGGGGGCACCGGGATCAGGCATTGAAGCAGGGACTCGTCTCTCCTCCTTGGCTGGCAGCGCAGAGCGGTTGGAGCCCGGGGGCTGTGACATGGGGAGTGGGAGGAGGAGCCAGCATCCATTCATCTTGTATTCGAAGGCTGCTGAGGTGGAACGGCTCCTGCAGCAGCATTGCCCAAATGAGCCTTCCCATCCAGAAGCAGCTGCCTGGCTTCCCTCTGTGCGCGGCCTGGTAGTCTGTGCTGCAGTCAGCTCAGCAAGTGCATAACAATGAACGGGGAGCTGGATGCTGCTGGCAGGAGCCTCGGAAGTGCATCGGAATATTTTATTAATGTCAGAGACATTAAGAGTTGGAAGAGAGTGAATTACGCTCCCCGCAGCACAGGGGAGACAGGCACTGTCAGGCCACAGCTATTTGTCTCTCAGGAAGGCGGCAACGTGAGTGCTGCTGTCCTGGCCGCTAACCATGTCAGCATCGTGGAGTTTGTCTCTTGAGGCCCTGGGGGACCTGTGCCCTGCTGCATGGGGAGCAATTATAACTGGAGGAAGCCCGTGCAGAAACACGCGTCTCCAGCTGCTTCAGAGCAAAGTGCACGCACAGCGCAGGCTACCGGAGGTGGGGGCATGGGGAAGTACCTCGCCGGTGGAGCTCCCAGAAGTGATCAGTGCAGGAGACCAGCCATCCAGAGCCCTGTCTCCAACAGGGGTTGACACCAGCTATAGCAGAGGAAGGAGTCAGACCCCCAGCACTAGGCAGGTGTGGGATAATCTGTCTCCACTGCACCCTCTTCTTGATCCCTAACAGAGCTGTGATACCCCTGAAGCATGAGGCTCCACAGCCCTTTCGAATGACTCTGGATAACCACTCCCTCCATCTCTGTCGTTCTCCTGGCCTCGGCAATGTCCTGTGGCAGGGAGTTCCACATCTAGGGATGCAGGAAGGTACTATTTTAGTGGCAGTATCAAGGCTGCACCCAGTGGACCTCTCTGTAGTGGTCAATATAGAGATGACCTCCTATCTGCAATGCCAGGCCCTGTTCACAGGACTAGGGCCCAGAGACAAGCTCTAGCAACCTGTATTCCCAGCTTCCCAGCGCTCCGGCTCCTGGTCTGATCCCACCTCTGTACATGTCTTGTCTGAAAACCTGGCACACAGCATAAGCAAATGCTGCCCTTGCTGTGTGGAAGGCGCTCCCCACTGCTGCTGAGCGCTGCAGCCGAGAGCAAGCCACTTCCAGGCTGTTAGGGAAGATGAATACGCCCCAGGCTGCAGGGAGCAAGGACCAGGGGAGAGGAGAGGTGCATTTGTATTTATCAAACACCCGCTCCCATTTGCCGAATCCTGCCCGATCTGCACGGCCCTGCTTTGCATTATTAAATATTCATGTCGCCAGGTCACCAATGTAGAATACGCACATTTCTGCCGCTGAATCATTTATGTACAATCAGGGGCGACGCAGAATCCTCGTGCTTCATCAGGGAGGGACCTCCCCACTGTTTACTCTGATCCATTTGGCTACACAAAGACGTGCCAGCTCGCTCCTGGAGTCTTAAAGGAGCAGCACAGCCTGCTTCTCCATTGCTCTCCTCCCAGCGGTGTGTGGGGGGCATCTTCTTTGCTGGGATCTGTGAGCCCCTGAATCTTTCAGCAAGCCTGACTAGGTCCCCAGGACCAGAGACTGGGGAAGAAGGTGCCAGGAGGAAAGCAGGCACGCTGGAATCGCACAGCTTCAGGAAGGGGTGCTCAGCCTATCCAGCATGATGAAAAGTCAAGGGATTCCCAAGTGTCTGCCAAGCTTACCCAAACTGGCACCCATCAGAGCTAGCCTGAAGGAAGTCCTAGATGGGTCCCAGTACAGAGAAAGTTTTCCTAGCATGGAGAGCTTGAAATCCACTGGCTTCATGGTTTGTTTCTTGCTCAGGCATGGGAAGTGTGTGGTGCATTGGCTGGCCCAGTTCATCAAGGACAGATGTCTTATTGGCAAGCAAGCTTCTGCCCCAGCCTGGCCCCAGGCACCCAGAGGTACAACTGCCTCATCGTTCCCAAGTGAAATGGGTTCATTGCTCTCGGTCCAAGGAGGCCGGGCACTAGAACAGCAGCTCAGACTTGAGCGGTCCTGGCAGGGCTGTCTAGGGCCTACACAGAGGGGCCAGGAGTGTCTGGCCTTCTCCTGAAAAGGTTAATGGGGATGAACCCAGTGGGGTTGTTTGGAAATGAAGCAGGGCTCTGTAGGAATTGCACTAAAGCCCCTTCAAATGAACAGAGAATGGGGGCTTTTCTGTGGCTCTTGGAAGCATCCCACCGAAGGGTCCGAATTATGTCAGCATCTAGAGGAGGGCCCCAAAGAGCTGGTAGAAAGGTGATTGTTTCCTTTGGGGCCTTTCTGTGGGTCCCCTCCACAAACGGCATCTCTGCTGGGGCATGGGGTCCCGGGAGAGAGCTCACAGCCTGTGTCATCCCCTTCCCCGGCCTAGAGGGGAGCTTTGCTCAGAGAGGAGAAGCCGGAACAAATGGGCTTAGGGCGATAGAAGACACTGTCTGCCAGCATGCTGCATGTAGAAGGAGCTTAACAGGATAACTCCAAGCTGATTAGACACAGAGTCAGTGTATGTGTGTGGGCACCTCTCCCTCCACCCGCTGTCTTCCTTGACATGCCCTAAAGGCTGAGGCCAGCCTCATTTCTGAGCCACGTCTACCCCCAGCATCTACCAATGCTTGCCATCGCCTTGCATGGCAGGGGAGAGTCCCTGCTGCACCTCTACTCTGCAGGCAGCCAGGCTCCCAGTGGGCAGTGCCTGAGTTTGCCCCCTGTGGTCTTCTTCTCACCCCTCTTTCTCAGTTCTTATTTTTTTCACCCCTTAATCGCATACATTGTGGGTTTTGGTCCCTGCCCTCATACAGGCAGGTGGGACCTGTGCCATGGCACTGGGCTGCATTCAGCCTCACCAGTAAGAAAGCCCCTGCTGGGGTAGAGGGGCTGGGCTGGGAGCCAGGAGGCAGCTGACTGGCCTGGGATTTATAGGTTTCTGTGCTTTGTTCCCCCAGGTCTCCTGACAGCAGCAAGTCACCAGATGCAAGAGCTGTGCCTCCACTCCTGGCTGCCGAGGCAGTCCCCATGCCACCTTCCTGGGGCCAGGGGAGCCCTGACTGTCTGGTATCCACATGGGTCGATCTCCTCGCAGCGGGGCTTTGTCTTGGCTCTGTGGACTGCACCCTGGACCTGGAGCCACCTGGGCAGGGGCCTCACTTCATTGCTGCCAGGACCGTGCAAACAGCTCACACAAATGGGCCGGATTTGGTTTTATTCCAGGCGCTCTGGAGGGTTTTTAACTGAAATGCAACTTTCTGCAGATCTTTTTTTGTGAATGGAGGGAGCAACCTCTTGGTATCCCCAGGGTCAGAGGTCTGGTGGATACCTTTGCAGTGGCTGGGAATTGCCTGGCCCCCCAAGACACGGAGGAAACCAGCTTGGACAGATGTTTAATCACAGCGGGGGCTGAGAGTCAGAGAGATGCACCTTGAAGAAAACCGTCTCGTTTCCCCCAGTCTCTGGAGTGCAGAGCGTGAGCCATCTCAGAGGGAGTTCCTCTTAAGAGCCGCTGAGGTCCCCTTATCCATGGCTTCCCAGCCTATTCACAGCAGTTTGTACAGAGCAAGAGTCCTGTGGAGTGGGGCAAGCTGACTGCCCTCCACTTCTCAGCACGGCATCCCCGGGGACCGCTGCGCTGAGCGGAGAGAGTGATGATATATGGAAGATGAGACGATCTGTTTCCATTTGCAGTTTGTCCATCGGCGGCTCCCCGTTTCCCCAGGTGTATTCCACGGCCCCGAACAAGCGCCTGAGTCGTCACTAGAAATAAATCCTCGGCCTGCCATCCATTCCCAGGCAGTCTATCAGTGGGCAGGCAACGGAAGCTGGAAGCCGAGCCACGTTAATTTGTTTTGACCTGTCATGCGGCCTTGTGTTTGTGCCTGCAGCTGTGGGAGTTGAAGGGGGTCTGTGTCAAGAGTTTGCTGCCCTTGGTGGCTTCCACCAGTGTCCCTGCAAAAAAACATGTTCACTAGGCAAGAGTGAGAGTGGAAGGGAGGAAGTATGGTGGAAGCAGGCGGGCTTCCCTGTGTGGAGGACACATGGGTGAGGTGTTTGGCTGGAGGTGGAGGTACCATGGGGACACAATATCTGACGGTAGAGCGGGATGCGAGCTGGTGGCTGGGTTCGGAAGGGCTTGTTTGACTCCCAGCATGGATGGGACCTCAGTGTTAGAGGAAGGTTTGGGCAACCAGGTGGGGCTCTGCAGAAACACGTTAGGCCTGACTTTGGGGGCTTTGTCTAGAGCAAGCTTTGGAAGGCATTGGCCGGCACGTTAGCCTAGCATAGATAATGCAGTGTGCTTTTAGTGCAGGTAACACCGGAAATGTTCAGTCCCCAGCACAGAAACACCCTATCTTATATGAATGGCATGCTGTTTTATCTATGCTGGGCTGTAACCTGTTAGCAAACACCTTCCAAACCCCAGGTTCCTCTAGGCAGGAGGTGCTGAATGTCCACAACCCACTCTGAAGCTAGCAGGCATCGAAGCTGCATAGGACCCCTCAGGATCAAGCCCTTTCTCACTGTCCATCCTGACTTCTCTATACAGCCCTACAGGTAACATCGTGCTTGATGCTGGAGAAGTGAAGGCCCTTGCCCCACAGAGCTCAGAGGCAGGGCTGAGCCAAATCCCTGGTGAGAACCTCACTGAGCTGTGGGAAGCTTGTACCATGGGGCAAGCTCAGGGTCCTCAGGGTCACTGCCACATGGAGATCTGTGGTTTGCATCTGGATGCCTATGCCACCAGGCCTTGAAGAAGAGGTGGGAAAAGGGAAGCATTAGCATATGTCACTGGCAGACCAAGGGGACAGCTGGACAGAGAGCAGAGGCAGGCGGAGGGACAAGAAGAGGCTTATGTGGAATCAGGGGTCCCCATGACTCTGATGCTGAAGAAGAGTCCCACTGATAAGATCCAGCCTGATCCCTGAGCCACAGCACCCTGTTTCCAAAGCAGTGTGCTTGTCTCTGTGCCCCGTTCCCAGAGCAGACAGGTAGCTGCGTGGGGATTTCCCTATAGGGTGCCAGGCTCTGGCTTTGGTGGCAGTGCACAGGGTGACCCAGCGAGACACCGTGCACACCCCATAGAGCCAGCTGCTGCTGAGGGGACCAGCCCCTCCATCACCTTGTAAATACTACCAGGGCTCCCTCTCGCCTCCCGCCCCCTCCCATCTCATCGTGAGTCGGACTCCTGGGTCCAAGGGCCTTTTCCACTGTAAGAAATTTCCAAAAACTTGTAATGTCGACATCATCAGGAAATAAAATTCTAACTTTATTAATCAAAAGAGGCCCCTCCGGGCAGGTGCTTGTCTCTTTAGTGACTCTCCCAACCCCCATCCCTGCCCTCGGGGCTGCTGGTGTGGGGCAGGGGAGGGTAACTTCCCGGGAGTTTGTGTTAATGGTTCAGGAAGCAGCTACAGAACAGACCTGTCTGCAGGAGAGGTTGGAGCAAGGAGCTGCCTGGCCCTGGCCCTGGCCCTGGCCCTGCAAAATCTCTGCTAATGGGGCTTCTGTCCCTCCTCCAACACACCGCAGCTCTGCACTTGCATTTTCCAGGCTTGTGGTCCAGCTGAATGCAAGGCACTGGCTGGAGCAGTGCTGAAGCTGCTTGATACACCATGCTTAGCTTAGCTTATTAGGCTCATTAGGATAAGGCTTGTCGCTTAATGCGGATCAAGCTGCTCTGAAAAGTTCAGGTTCAAAAGCCACTAACGTCTTCTCTGCTGTGGTTTCACTGGAGAGAGACTGCTGGGTTTGCAGGAGTCCAGAGGAGTTTGATAGTGATACCACGGCAGTATCCGAGCAGTGCCCATGCTTTAATTCTCCTCCCCGTGTCCTTAGTGGTGGGGTGAGGTCACCATCTCCAGTCAGAAAGGTTTTTCTGTGCCTCAGTTTCCCTCTAAGCTGGGCGAGGAGCTCAGTTGAAGATCTGGCCAGAAGCCCCACAACGGGTGCTGAGGCCCCAATTCCCACTGCAATCAGCATTCAAGGTCTGGCACCATTGGGTGCTCTGATGAGCAACAACACTGGGGCAGCGTCACTTCACTCTCCTTGCCCACCTGCAGCCACAACAGCATGGGATTGGCAGCAAGTCGCCCACAAGGCTGGGCTGGGGGCCGCTGCCCAAACTAGACGCAAGGCTGCTGTTCTCCCTCTCCGCTAAGCTGCTCCCCGTCTGTCTCCGTGTGAACACGTGCCACGGTAGCTGGATAGCAGCAAGCGCCGATGTTCAGAAAGCCCTGGGGAGAGAGCAGGCCTGAGGCAGGATTCAGGGAAGCTGCCTCCTTGCCTTTGCAGTGCCTCTCAGGTGCATGTCGCACTTCTCTTCCATCAGGGCAAGCTGCCAAAAGGAGCCGGGTAACACAACTAGCTGGGTAATGCAACTAGCCAGCAGCCTTTAAATACCTGTCCCTTCCTGCGGGGCTCTGGCGTCCTCCCTGGCTGCAATCAGAGTTCAGAGATTTGGTCTCCGAGGCACTAATTCATGTCTCGGCCTAATTACCATTGATTGGATTTCCACGTACAACTGTCTCTGTCATTATCACAGCACTGCTCGGAGATGTTCTGTGCGAGGGGCTGTTAGAAAATCCATTTAAAAGCAAGAGTGGCACAGAGCAGCCCAGCCCAAGGGCCTTTCACCATAGAGCCTCCTATGGCAGGGGCAGAGTATCGCTCATCTAGACAGAGACTGTCCAGAGGGCTCCGTGCTCATCCAGAGCCTGACCCAAAGTCCAGCAGAATCAGCAAGACCCCCCTGAGATCTCTGGATCGGACCCTCTGCCCTTGGCCTCCTGCCCAGATGGCCGCCTAAGGCAGGACAGCATCCTTATGGAGACTCCACCACTATGGTCTGGCACCAGCGCTGGGTTTTGTATCATAAATATCTGCTTGCTAGAGGCTGGACCCGCACGGCTCATTTCACCAAAACACAACCATTCTTGATGGCCGGTTCCCCAAGCCACTGCCAGGCCCGCCAGTGGGGCTGTACTCGTGGTTCAGGGATGTGTTTGATGTAATAATGCCTTTCGTGTGGAAGGACCCTCATGCAATAAAGGGAGGGATGCAGTGGAACCATCCACTATTGAAATGCAGCCACTCTGGTGTGTGCAGCAGTTTCGTGATTTGCTCAGCACTATAACATAGGGCAGGAAGTGAAGAAGAAAAGCCTACCCAACTATAAATTGAAGGAGGCAGCAGTTTTAGGCAGATTAGAATCATCTGCCTTGAAGTCGGGTCGGGACTCCCCCAGTTTCTAGAATGATTAATATTTGCAAGTGATCCTATCATCAAAAACTCATTTGAAAGAAAGTAACTCTATCAGGACTATGCCATTTTACTCCACACAAAGAGGCATTGATTCAACCCTGAGTCAGAAGCCACCTGACATCACTTTCTCCTTCTAAAGCACCAACCGTCTTCCTGCAACAGCTGGGAATCATAAAGAAAGTCAAGATCCCACATTTTAATGCCTCCACAATTATGTTTTTCTCTGAACCAGTAATTCTTATGCACCATAAAAACCACCTCATTATATATGCCATTAGCACTCCAAATTAAAATGTGGAGACTTGAAATATTTACTGCAGGTCCTTCTTCCTTTTCTAAAAAAAAAATCCCCACTGATAAATCACAACGTTAATTGACTACAAAACCTGCAGTTACCTGTTTGGCCAGTATCCAGGCTGGTAGTGATTGACAGCACTTACACTATAAAACCTGTGAAGTGAGCTGAAGGCACCTCAGTGCTGTCCTTCTCAGGCAGGCATTCACACTTGCAGTATATTTTCCAGCCCCTGCATGTCTCTGTGTGGTCTAGAGGTCCAAACATCCTGGTCAACAAGAGAGACAAAAGAGCACAAGCTGAGTAGAGCCTGTTGGTATCTATAGTTTGCAGCTAATTTCTTTAACAACTGTCTCCTGTTTAAGGTGGAGTGTGATTTCATATAGGATGTATGGGGCCTAGGCAGGAACAGGCCGTAAAGCCTGATTCTTTGAGTTGATCCCTCTAAACCAGAGATGGGGACTGTATGGTAGAAATGTCCTGTGTTACTGCCTCTGCTATAGCTGATCTCTTCATAAAAGGAGGTGGCCCAAATTAAGTGCCGCCTTTGCCTTGTTCACTCATTCCCACCCCGTATGCTAAGCCCTGCCCTTGATTCAGAAAAAGCAAGGCCAAATTCAGCACTCCTTGGGGCAGAACATGCAATGTGACATGAAACCTATTTTGCTTTGACTCACTAAGGTGTTAAAATTGCAGTGTAGCAAGATTGATGGGGACTTTGGAAGACACTTTCTGTGTAATTAAAAACAATGTCTGTGCATTGGACAGAAAAATGCTGTCTCCCAGCTATGCCAGCTTGCCTGTCTTGGCATCACCAGCTATACTGCTTTGGTATCTCCTCCCTCTGGCTTTGGCACTGCAAAGAGCCTTGGCACGGTGGTGCTGCTGTTGGCTCTCTCCCCACTCTCCTTCTGGCTGTGGGCTGGCTCCTCTGCAGAGCTGCCAAGCTCCCAGCCAGAAGCTGATGGGGAATGAGAAGCCCTGTTAAAATGTTGCTGCCAGCTGTTCATTGGCAATTTGCTTAATATCCCTTCCCCCCCACCAATGTCAGCGGACCACATCACACAGTCAATGGCTTCCTGATGGGGCTGGCAGCAGTTGAGGTGAATGCCATGCAACAGAAAGCAAAGATGCCATGAAAGCAAGACATTGCAAGGAAGGGCACAGCTTTGTAGCTCAAGTGGA